CGCGGAAGTAGGTTAATAGATTCAAGGTTAATATTTTTGAAAGTATGAACCAGAGGCCGAAACGGGGAGAATTTTTTGTTCCCCGCCCCGCCCCGCCAAGACAGAAACAACTGTTGTCACGGAACGGCGATTATTTCTTATCACACACCCACACCCAAAATTGAAGAGATTTCTTTCCTCTAACAAAAGACGCTAATACGATATTTGTACCTATAAAGTAGCAAAGACCTTTGAAGAAATATAAAAGTCTTCTTTTTAGTCGGCAAAAATATTTATTTAGAATTTTGAAAATCTTAATTAGGATATACTGCAAATGAATGATACATATGATAATGATTAACTTTTCAAAAGATTTGTCCTGGATCGATTCACAGGCAGGTGAAAAAAAAGATAGTATGAGGGACCAGTTGCCCGTACGGTCAATTATTTGTCTCATTCTCTGCATTGAATTCTCGTAGTGCTTGACATAAGTTTTTCTGATTCTTAGGAATTGTGTATCCTTGAGTCAGTAGTTGTTGAGGAGAAACGATAAAAGCCAATGCCATTCCACCACTCATATGCCATTCGATGTGACAGTGAAACAACCAAGCACCAGGATTATTAGCGACAAATCGGACTTTAGCCCAGCCAGAACCTGGCACACTCACAACGTCACGTTGAACATAGTTATCGTAGTACAAATATTCGGCTTCCGGATAATCCGACGTTGCAATAATCCAGAAGTTAAAACCGTGTAAATGGAATGGATGCGAGTCAACATCTGTGTTGCTTAAATAGAGGTCGACGACGGCTTGATATGGAACTAAATAGTGACCCTGTCCATCACTTTGAATTGTTGGTAGTGGACTTCCAGCTTCTATGCGAGGTGGTGAAATACCTAGGCTATCAGGTTTTATTGCCATTTGATGAAGTAATGGCGCGTATTCGTCTGAAGTAATTCCTTGTGTTGGATCAGGTCTCACATGCATATAGTTGGCATCTGAACTATATGTGACATTATTCAGATAGCTACGCTTGATTCCATCTTTATCGGAGGCGAGTGCAATGACAACGCTCAAATAATGGGTTGCAGTAGGAATTCCATCATCATTATGATGGAGCGGTCGGGCAGCTAAGAGATTTGTGTCTAGTGGAGTAACAGTGTTCTGCAGTGTCGGGGTTGGCTGACTGGCTCGGTATGTCGGTGGAGCATTAGTCGAATCAAGTGACAAAATAGCAAGATACAATGGATTGAAGAAAGTGGGATATGGATAACGTGGAAGCTCATATGGAGGAATGTAATTGACAATGTCAACAGGATACATTGATAATACGGCTTGAAATCGAATAAAGAGTGAACTTGTGGCTGATCCACCCGATGCAGTGTAATGCAAGTCTATTTCGTTCAAGCTGATATAAAATGAAACACGCTGAGCAACGCTAATATTGAATGAACTAACTGTGTAGGATAATGTGTCGGTTTGATCCAGTTCAATCACATGCAAAGGAAGACCATCAATCGATACGGTATACATTGAGAAGGCTGCAGTGTTGATAATTCGAAATCGAACACGCGATGAACCTGAGAGTGGAATAAACAACGATTGAGTAAACTTTCCGTTGACAACAATAGCATCCGGTGAAGGCTCGTATCCATTCGAATTGTGTGGACTTAAATACCAGCGGAGTAAATGAGTATGAGCGCAGTTATTATACCAATCCGACACCATGAGTATACGTTCACTATCGTAATGACGCCCATTCAGCTCATTCCGTCGACGAATAATTAATGGGCCATATAACCCGTCCGTGTACTGCTCAAGAACATGACCGTGATACCAGGTCGTTCCTGCTGGTTCTGCCTTGAACTTGTATATCATTTTACTCTGCGGCGGTATTGCACACTGTGTAATTCCGACAGCACCATCCATACCTGGAGTGCCGATCTGATGCATTCCATGCCAATGTATTATCGAAGGGACAAGCAGTCGATTGATCACTCTAATTATAAGCGTATCGTTTTCATAGGCTTCAATCAGTGGACCAGGGAACGAATAATTAGCCGAAATAATTGGTTTGACCGATGTTGGATATGGATAGATCGTATCGATAATCAATGTTTGATGAACTTTAGCTGCTTCAGCTACTAACAAAAGGCTAACGAAACCGAACGGTATTTGAATTACCATGGTAATGTTCTTTGATGCGGGAACCTGAGAAAATAAAATATGAACTTTATTCAGTTTTCCAAATATAGTTCGTCGAGAGAGACTAGAAGTGACACGATGACGATTTTTTAGATCATCTTCTCTGTCGTTTTATAAAAGCAGGTCTAATGTTTTGTAGTCTAGTTCTTCTAGAAAATTATGCCTCGACTTACAAAGAGAGGCATTCGAATCTAATGACTTTTTGATAATGTTATCAATCTATTGGCTATTTCCATGCAGGAATGTATAGAAAAAATATTCAAAATAGGACGGCCTCAACGAGAGCCCAAATCGAACTATTATAGTTGAGTTTCCTTCCTTATCTGGATCTGGTATCAGCTGTTAGTCTGGATAACCTGAAGTAATTAAACTAAATTCATATTAACCACTGAACAATCCGACATCTACCCAATACATGGTGATCATATGTATTTACAATCGTTATCTATGCGGGATTTCGGAGACTACAATCGAACAAACTATTTTTTCTCATGTGAAACAATTATTCAACCGCTTTTTGTCATCTTAAGCATACTATCATGCCAGTTTCTCAACCTCGGAAATTCCCATATTTGATTATGGAACATTCAATTCAATTCTTTTGAATTTTATAAGCGTTTCTGAATATTGGCGACAGAGCACCCTTATCTCATTCTTAAACCTTCGTAGATTTTTTCCATCAGGATCTTGTCTAGATTCACTCAAGATCTTACAAACTTGTTAAATTCATACCATTCAGTGAAAGGAACCATACAAGAAGTAAGTAAGATTTAGTAAGGATTCTAGATAGTGTCTTTAGATTTTTTGAGACTACGAATACAGAAAGAAATATTTTACATCCTGAACAAGATCTTGTCAAGACTCAGTGTACCCTTCATCTGAAAGACGTTTGTACAAGATCCCATAGTAGCTTGCTAAGATAGAATGATTCAGCATTCTGTCCGATCTTGAGAAAAGATCTTGACGGCATCCTACGATAATCTTTATTTAATTTAAAAATATTTAGTCGTAAGTTTCTATTAATCTTTGGATAGGATCCTATGCAACCTTCTAGCAGAATATTATTCTCCTCTTGACAGCAGAAAGTGAGATCTTGACTAGAACAACTTCGAGATTTTCACTAGAAGCGTACCAAGAACGATACTGCAACAAGTCATCTTGTTGTATAGAGACTCAAGTTGCCTTTTGATTTTCTTTTAATTACTCTTCCATCCACAGGCCAACGAGACACAGTCGCCTTACGGCTTGATCCGACAACTTGTTTTTCCTGTCCTCTCACGAACCTTAATATTTGTCATGTAACTGACGTTAACGTGGAGGATTTCAAGGCTTTTTGTTTTCGTTGCTTCCACGTGTACATGCACAAAAATATAATGTGTTCTATTTCTTACGCTTGCACATACGCTTATAACTCATTCGTTAGAACTAAACCGAGAAATAAAGAGATGGAGATATCAAGCTGATGTTTTACAGACCTCGGTGTTGGCCATGACTGACTTTAAATGCGAGGAGTAACTGTTTTTAATCTCTATATTCTAATAAATGATTCTCATTAACAATCTGATACATTTAAAATTCAGGTAATTTATATTCGATGATTGGACAGTCTGTGGGATTAATNCCGTCCTGTATTTGTGCTAAAATTTCCAAATCTTTGCGCTTTACTCTTTAGTTTTTTTCCTTAAGCTTTGATGTTAAGATATGATAATTTTAACACAAATACAGGACGATTTCGGCTACGTTTTGGTCTAATTTGATGTGAACTTGCCACGAAAACTCATGAAAATAGACGACAAATAAAGTACTTGACTGCAAATAGCTATACAGAAGGTCTTTGAACTTAATCAATTTTATACAGATCGACGTCCTCCACCTTGCTCTTGCTAACGGGGAAAGCCAGAACTCTATAGCTTATACCGTTGAAAAGTTATTCAAAATATTGTCGTTAGTACTTAAAAAAAACCTGACATTAGTAATAATCGTTCTGCTCGCGCATGTTACTTAAGAGGTAATGAGAACTATCCGAAACTCTTGACGTTCTCTGTGACAAAAGTTTTTTCAGAGAGAAATGACACGTATGATGAGAGAACAATTTGATACAAACTAAGAAACATTACAAGGGTTTATCTTAGTATATTGCTTCTACTCTATTAATCGTTGTACACTCTTTGAGCAGCACAAAATTTTCTTTTATTCAAGTCTTACCCTATGTTTATAGTTCATTCCTTATAATAACTGAAGTTGTGCATGTCTAAGACCTAAGTATACAAAGCACAGACCTCAGTTATTTTTAAATATATCTAAGATAAGGTGTGTGACAGCTTCAACTCACAAGAGCTGCAGCTGGTAACAGTTCCAGCTCGCGGGAGCTGAAGCTGGTAATGGTTCCAGCTCATGAGAGCTGGAGCTGATCTCAGTTTCAGCTACCAAGAGCAGGATATGAGTAGCTAGGGGTGGTGCTTTATATTTTAAAGAGATATCTAGGGTAGAGATTCATAACTTTTCAAGCACTGCCTTATAGGGAAGCTACATGTCCTCAAGATCTATCCTATGCGGGAATATACAAGCCCTCAAGGGCTATCCTAAGGGTAGCCAGACATGCACTAGAAAAGAGAAGATATCGTCATGTTACCAAGTAGCTGGTAACTGGATCGCTACCAGTTAGCGAGTAACGGATTCAATACCAGTTACTTAGTGACTGGTAACAGTAATGGTTCGATAACTCTTCTCTCAACTGCTGGCAGATAACCTTGGGTTCTTAAGTCCTTTTATTGGCGGTATCTTTTAGTTTTCAAGTCCTTCTATAGGAGGTATCCTTGGGTTCTCAAGTCCTACTACACTTGTAGCTGTCCTGATAGTAAGAAAAAAAAGGTCTCCTGAAATCTGATTGGTCGAAAAATGGACCAATCAGGTTGCGAGATTCTGTTTCACGATGATATATAGAGGGGGAACCCACACATATATCCCTCATTCGCTAGAGTGTCCCTGATAACCCTGGGATCGGCCCCAACATGATTAGTAGCTGCCCGAGTCATAAGAGAGAAAACTCCTCCTGAAATCTGATTCGTTGAAAAATGGACCTATCCGATTGCAGGAGGACTTTTCTTCCTAATCACCCAGGCATCTATTAGTATAATATGACTTGAGGACCCAAGAATACCTGCCAGTAGTTGAGAGGATAGTTACGGAACCTTTACCTTTATCAGGTAACGGAAAAGTCAACACCGTTATTATTACCCAATGAGGTGATAACGGTTGGGCGACGGTAACTTCTCACCCCTAAAATCCAAAGAGGCTATTCCATAGGGGTGCTCCTGAATTCTGAACGGCTGCCCTAGGGAGTATCAAGAGTCCTCAAGGGCTGTCACATAGGAGTACCCGTAAGTCCTCAAGGGCTATGGGAATGTTTGAAGAGTTATGAGTACCCCTCTAGGACAGCGCTTGAAAAGTTACGGTGTATTCCCCAGGGTGGTCCTTGAAGTGTGATAAATATCTGCCGAGAAATATCCCATGAAGAGTTGAAGGTGCTTACCTACGGTAGTGCTTTAAAAGTTATGAGTACCCCTTAGAATAGCCCTTGAAGACTAAGGAGTAATTACTAGGACAGTGCTTGAAGAGTGAGGGGCATTCCACCAGAATAGCCCTAGAGGACTTATGCGTATATGTATGGGATAGTCCTGAAGAAGTTATAGAAATCCACTAAGATAGGCCTTGAAAACATATGGCTCCTTTTATAGAATAAGCCTCAGAGCTTTTGGATAACCCCTTGAAAAGTTATAACGACTACCTCTAGCTATAGCTAATCAGCTCACATGTGTTGGAATTGTAACCAGCTCTGGCTCTGGTGAGCTGGAACTGTTGCCAGCTCCAGCTCTACGAACTGAGCTGGAGCTGTCACATACCTACCTAATATTATAAGTATATGCATGCCCATACTAGTCAGCACAAATACTAATGTGTGCAAAGTGTATTTATTCTTGCATTCAAGAGGCGCATAAAAATGCAAAGCAATACAAGTATTATTTATTCCTCTCATTTGAAAGCACATCTTGCTGCTACTTACTCGTTCTTGAAGCAACGCGAGTCGATCGGTACATACAAATATTAGTAATCGGGCACCATTTGTACAATCGTTTATTTTTGTTGCACTCTTTCACGAACAAAAAGAACAGTTCTGTGCCAAAAGATGCACCGATATAATAGGTCAACACGTGTATTTCGTTGTTACCATTACGTTATATTGTTTGTCGTTCTTGCGCTATATCACCCTCATATACATACATAATACTACTCGTAGTGATCAATACTTTTTCAATACCATTGTAATCGCTTCTTTATGTGTTGCTCTTTTTCAATATGTGTGTAACCGCTGCGCTATATCCTCCCTGTATGCTCATTGTTGTCTTTTCGTGGGAAGGACAAGGTGAAGGAGAGAAGAGAACAGTAGAGAATATAGGCAGTTGATGATAGTGAGAAGTGAGAGTAAGATCGAACAACGATACACTCATGTGTGAGTGATATACATAGTGGTCTAAGAAGTTATGGGTGTGGGGTGGGTGTGGGTGTGGGTGTGGGTGTGGGTGTGGGTTTGGGTGTGGGTGTGGGTGTGGGTGTGGGTGTGAGTGTGGGTGCGGATGTGGGTGGATGGGTGTGTGAGAGTGTGTTCTAATGATACCCACACTCACGCCCAACGAATTCAAAATAATCGAAAACGTTATGATTGTATTGATAAAGCTGTACAAAAAAGTACAGTTCAATTTATAGAGTAAAACTGAAACTTTTATTTTGATCCAAACAAAAAGTTCAAATTTTATTTGAGCACATTCATTTCTTATAGATGTCTGAGTTTTTGTGCGTCTGTATTTTCTCAGTCATCAAATAAAACTCGAAATATCATTACGATTTTTTTCCATCAATAATTGATAAAGAAGGCGAAACAATAAGGATACTTTCAACTAAAAAAATGTGCTTCCATACTTTAATGTCATACTTGACTTTTCTATAATCCCAAGGAAAGGACAAGTTAAATAGAAGATTTTTTCCCCATTTTTCCTCTGTTATAATTTCTTAATTGCATTGTGAGATATATCAAACGATTTAGAATAAGAAAATGGCAGAGAAAAAAGACAATCCATATTTTCTTCGAATGATGTAAGCTATTCTATCATCATTGTAGGAGCAAAAAGGAATATTCTCATCATTAGATAGTATAATGAGCTTAGAACTACGCAATTTTAAGACGTTACGAGTAATTTTTAATAAAAGAGCATAGATCTTAGCTGTACACTTGAAGTACAATTCTCAATTCAACTTCATAGAGTTTCAAAAGATCTTTTCACATCAGTGTTATGATGCCACTTTAAAAAAAGGTGTAAATATTGAAGTTTTCATCCTCCTACCACAAAACGCGAATATTTCTAACTAAACATTTGTGATCAAAGTCGAATGAAATAAATAAGTATTATAAAAATTTCTTGATCATGTCTAAAAAAAAGAAGAATATCCATAATCATGACGATTTTTATCGAATGCTCTAGTAAGTTCGAGCCAACGATCTTCTTCCATTTCGATATCAACAAATAATTCTTTTTCATGAACTCGAATTAACTTCTTTTGATCGCATAATGCTGTAACAATGCAATTGCTTGACATAGTAATCGAAATGATGAATGAACAAAGAATGTTATTATCCAAATCAGTTTGCCTGGCATATAATTTAAGAAAAGGAATCACAGATATGCTAAAGTAACGAAAAAACAATGCATCCTGCTCGGATAATTTGGAGAAATGATGTAACGTATCATCATTGATGTTTTCTAATACAGATGGTTCAATTTTCAATTTCCATATTATTGAGCCATCTGCTGCTAATTGACGATTTAAGTTAGTGAAAGAGTCATATTTTTCTAAGAGTGCTTGTAATTCAGCAAGAGTAGTAATCGATTCATGTTGTCTGGCTTTTTCCTGTACTTTTATCAAAAAGTCTGATGTTTGAGTTTGATCATCGACTTTGTATAAAGTAAATAAATCCGATGAGAGTTTTAAACGTTGGAGACTACGTTTATTAGAACCTGTTTTGATAAGATTATGTAATTCTTGGAAACCCAGGGCAACAAATCAGACGCTAAGATCAGACTCAGATTCTTGTACGTTCGTGTCCGATCTTATATCAATATCTTGTATGATCATACAAGATCATACGGAAAATCGTACGAAAAATCGTAGTCTCTGATTTCTTACATCAAGAATTACAATCAGTGTCCAGCAAGAGCGATCTATAAGATCTTGCACGATCAGATTGATTTTATTTCGAAGCATTCTTATAAATCCATATAAAAAACACTGCAGTTGGATCGAAAAAACACTGATCAAAAACTTTATTTACACAAGGCACCGTGAAAACCCTTCGCTACTGAAGAAGCCCGATACAAAAACGGAATCAAGATCCTAAAACATAAGAAACGAACCGATCACTATGGCTAAATCGTCGTGAGCACCACTCTCTATACCCTCGTGGGTACCTCTCTCTCTATATATATATACCCTCGGGCGTACCTCAAACTCTCTCTCTCTAGATATACCCTCGTGGGTACCTCAAACTCTCTCTCTCTATATATATACACCCTCGTGGGTACCTCAAACTCTCTCTACATATATACCCTCGTGGATACCTTACTCTCTCTCTAGATATACCCTCGTGGGTACTTCACCCTCTCTCTCTCTATATATATATACCCTCAGGGGTACCTAAAACTTTCCCTATATGTACCCTCGTGGGTACCTCACTCTCTCTATATATGTACCCTCGGAGTACCTTACTCTCTCTATATATATACCCTCGTGGGTACCTCAAACTCTCTCTCTATATATATACCCTCGCGGATACCTCACTTACTCTATATATACCCTCCGGGGTACCTCACTCTCTCTCTATATATATATCATCAGGAGTACCTGAAACTCTCTCTATATATATACCCTCAGGGCTACTTCACGCTCTATATATATATACCCTCGTGGGTACCTGAAACTCTCTCTTTATATATATATACCCTCGTGGGTACCCCACTCTCTCTCTCTATATATACCCACAGGGTACCTCTCTCTCTCTATATATATATACCCTCAGGGGTACCTAAAACTTTCTCAATATATACCCTCGTGGGTACCTCAAACTCTCTCTCTATATATATACCCTCGTAGGTACCTTACTCTCTCTATATATGTACCCTCATGAGTACCTCACTTTTTCTATACATGTACCCTGGTGGGTACCTCACTCTCTCTATATAAATATACCCTGAGGGGTACCTCACGCTCTATATATATACCCTCGTGGGTA